AATTGCATGTTTTCTTTTCTCAAGAACTTAAATATTTTACTGCACTCTTGTGAGTATTCATGCAAGCCTATTCATAGCACCTTTTTGTTGCAATGACCTTTCTAGCATATTTTGAAGGATTTTTTTTTCTTTTTAAGCATTTAGCAAGTCTGAGACAAGGATGACATTTCTGTATGTATCATTAAAGCTACACTATGATACATAAAAACAAGTACTGAGTTTCATCAGTGAATATTCATACTAAAAAAGCAAACACTTTCCAAAGGCAGCTTGTGCAACGTAATGCAGCTTTCACGTGCACAGATACAAGTGTTTTCTTCTAGTGCTGGACATTGCTATTTCAGCTTTTGTTCTCAGAGAAAGGAATCAGAGTGTCTTAATGAAGACAACTAAAAATTAGAACGAAAAATGCTTAACTCAAATTTAAAAAATTCTTAAAACTGAATTAAACTGCTTCTGTTTGGGAAAAATTCATCAATTGACTCTCAAAGATACTTAACCTAAAAAAAAAAAATTATCTGCCAAACAAGAATTATTTAAGGAAGCATCAAAAGCAATACACAGAGCATCTTGCAATGGCACAATAAGCAGCATTACCTACAGGGCATCGATCCCAAGTCTGCCACCTTCTGGACTTGGAGCATTTCATCTCCAGAAACTTTCAGCAAAACATTATTATAATTAATTGACAGAGGAGTCAAGGATCTTTTTTATCAGATAAAAGGTTAAAACTAGCCATGCTGTCCTGCCACATAGAAAGTCTGCAAACAAAGGCAACAGAGAAAATTAATTACTTCCCTTGTTCACAATACCCGACAAACCTCTTGCATGCGACTATTAATATGGTTTCATTTTAACCCCTCCAGTCACTATAAGTCTGTGACTATGAACACCAGACCACAAACCAAAGTGATCACATAGCTATTTCAGAGGGCAACAGTGCTACAGATCAACTTACACTGGCAACTCACATCATCTGCATCAGTCACTTCTAAACAGTGTCAGCACCACGCTCTTAGGCGTGTCACTGTATTTAGCAAAATTAATGTCTAAGGTGCTAATGCTACTACTGGTTTTTAAGCCAGTTTAAAGCAGAATTATGTACCCTATACTTAAGACTTATGGAGACATGCATGATTCTGAAGCATTGTAACACCACATTTATACTATCACTTGTAAAACTCTTCATTTGAGAAAATTAACTTCCTTGAGCTTTTTTTAAGCATTTGAATTTCAAGAGACAATTACATACATGTGCAGGTGGATCAGAGAAGCAGTAATTATTATGAAGGCAGCAGTATAACAGGTTGGAAGTTTCTTATCAATGCTTCCTTGAAGGGGAAATTGAACTCCAGCAAAAGCATGCTTTTGGACTTAAACTGCCTCTATCCCAGGAATATATCATTAATTTATTAATTTAAAAGACCAAATAACACACGAGTTCTGCTTTGGTACTAAATATTCAATTTAGATATTCCATGCAGTTCTACAACCCAGACAAAACAGTCTCGTTTAGGTCATCAGTGACAATCTGCTAAGTACAGCCTTTCCCTTGTATGTATTTGAACTACAAAGACTCAGAAACTGGTGAGTTTATTCAACCAAAGTTTCTTATCTGTCATTCCCTAAGAAAATCCTGCCGCAGCTGAAGAGTACTCCAACAGCACAGGCAGTGGCAGATTCATCTTCTATGAGCTGCTTACAGCCTCTAGCATGAGGTTTCCCACAACAAAACCTTACCCTAAATCCTTTTTTTATACTTGGAGAGGTTTTGCTTTCAAAAAAACAAATTCTGGCTGAACAACAGCAAATTAAACATAAGCGTCACAAAGGTCTTCCATTTCAATCCACTCTGACAGTCTTTCTGGAGGAAGTCACTTTCAACTTCAGAATGTCTGAAGATGAAATCTTCAGTTTCCTTCCAAATAACACAACAGATAATTCTCTTAATATTTAAAAAAACGCTTTGTGAATTCCACTTTAAAGGACTACAAATAGTTCTTTAAATTAATGAACTAATTAAAACGAGCACTTAGGCAGTTCTAAAATGATGGTTGTTTCATGGCCTCATAAGGATTCGCTTCTAGAGAAACTGTATTTTGAAACAGGGTGAGGCAGAGCGACTCAAGAAACACTAATAACTGTAACTTCAGATATGCAGGGGAATACAGAGACATCCAGTTAAAGTAACAATGAAGTAAACAAGCAGAATCCTAAATAAATCAGTCTACTCCGTGTAGGTTTACTAGGAAGAATTTGTTACACCCACCAAAGGAAGTAAACTTAACTTGGCTATTGGAAGAGAAGAGGTATTTGCACCACTCAAGCAATTTACTTCTTAAGCTTCTCATAACCTGGATTTTACTCCCACAAATTTAGGAGCAGTGCTCTGCTTGCATACAGTATTCCACAAACATATTAGAAGGTACACATGTTAACTTGGGAAGAGAGACATGTGTTTCCCCATTCTCATGAAACTTATTACTTGGCATCGCAAGAAGTTCTGCTGTCATAACTTTATGCCTAAGCTATCAGGAGCACACCTCTCTGTAAATGTAGCTGTACCAGCTTCTCTTTACTTCAATAAGGTCTGTGCTCTGACTTCCAGAGAGGAGTTGCATTAGCCAAGGCTGGTACATGAAACCCCAAGAAGAAAGCTATTGTTAAGGTACACAACTGCACAAGCCAACTTCTGTTCACAGAAATCACGAATATTCTGCTCCTGCAGAAACAGCAGAAGGGGATCTTAAAAACAAAAAAGCACAGCATAAAGCAGTCTGGATTCGTGTTTATTGAAGCCAGTATTTAAAGATGTCCTCATTTTGCCAGCACTAGAAAGCAAGATTCCACATGACTGCATACTGCACCTGGTTAAAGCCATACAACTGGACTAAGGTTTGTTTCATACATTTGCAGTCCTAATTGTAAGTTGGAAAAAACCCCAATAAACTTAGTATACAAGACAGTGAACTTTCATTTACAGCATGTATATTGTTAAGTTCATGATGTACAGAGCAGTCACTTTCAACGTAGTTAAATTAAATAAAATACGAACTTCTGTTCTGTTTAAACAGTTTTTTTAAACGCCAATAAAAAAGTGCAAACTTAAATCAAGCAGCATAACCACAGCATTTTTATGGAGGGCCAATCTTTAAACTTTTCTATTTGCTTCAAGACAAATACTTTCATATTTTGTTTTCTTAGTTTAAACGTGAACAGTAGGTGCAGTCACTATAATGCATATAAATATAGTCATATAATAGTTTAAACAGTCTACCATACAAGTGTATCTGCAAAAAAAATGAAGTTTCACTTGAAAATGTAAAGGCTGTTTGCAATTTGGCCTTTGGTTCCAATGCTTCAAGACACCAGAATAACAACTGTGCAGCTCACCAAAGTTGACAGACTTTGGCAACCACAGGATGCTACATTACTTACAACTTTCTTTCAATAAACTAGGAGCATTCACTTGCAATTAGAAACTAGAAATCTGCTTGTTTTGTCAGAGGCATCTTTCTGCAAAGCTGGTAAGTTATCATACAGCATCAGTTTTGAACAATTTTAGTATATTTACATTTTTTTTAGAACTGAAAAGTACTTCAATTTTAAGTTTTAGCCAGATTGCTAAAGAAAGTGCTTATCAGGTTAGATGACCAAAAGACGCAGTTTCAGACTTAGGTTTTCAAATCATACCCCATGATGATCACACACTTTTTGAATTTTCCTATCAAGTTCTTGATGTTTTAGTCTCCAATCTCAACTCTGTGTCAGGACAGTGTGCAATCACTTCTTCTATTAATTCTACTTGCAACTGGCACCCATTACACCAGGAAGTACAGCCAGATTACCCATCAGTCATCCACAGTCTCAGTCTAACTGTTATCTAGACAACTGTATAACTTCAGGTCATACCGTTTATTTTAAAAAAAGTAAAAAAAAAAGAAAAATATAATATTTAAAAAACAAAAAACTGGCACAAATAACATACTCATGTTAATGTTTGTCAAAGAGGCAAGTAAATACTCTTAGCTTTCTGGATAATGTTTAGACAGACTTAGAAGAACAGCCTCTTGAAGTAATACAGGATTTGAAGTTAACATCCAGTACTGTGTTAGTGGTCAATCTAATTCTGCATATTTAAGTAACAATATATATTAGGGAAGTTATATCCAGACATCAGATTTAGTACAACAAGTTCATATCAATAAAAAGTAAACTCTGCATAATTCAAATTGTGGTTTTTCCCTTCACCATTAAGAGCATAGAATATGCTTGGTATTTTTAACTTACGGTAGTGTATACATGTAAAACAAGCATACCGTATATAAAATCAAAGTGCTGTTTCAGTAACCATAGCAGTTTTGTTTGTTTTTACAGAATGATGGTTTTATGTGACCGTGGACAGAGCTCCCTTAGAGCAACGGGGACAACCACAACCCATCTTTCCAAATGAAATGCTACATTAAAGAAAATACAAAACATGTTATTGAGGGTGTTCATCATGTACGCACATTCATACTTTTTAAATTACCTTCAGAATTGGAGTTGGCTGCACCTGCAGCAGATGTAGTTGGATATAGGGCCTTGAAAGTTTTTTTAAAAAACCTCCATAGGTGTAAGGCAGGAACCAGTTTCAGCTTGGTAGCTAGTATTTAGTTACAAAAAGTATGAAAAAAAAAATACGGTGAGTGTTCTGTAGCACATTCATTATGGGAAAATGATACGTCACCCATCATTCCTCATAGGCTATAGCCTCTTGGCATAAAAAAAGGCAGAAGCTATCAGAAAACAGGATTTAAAATTAAATACAACTTGCCAAACTACTGATTTTAAAATAAAACCAAACAGTGACTGTTTGTACTACAGTGCACAATAAGTTCAAGCACCTTCTAAAGACACATCACACACTGTGCCAGGCACTTGGATCTAAACAAGTTATAGTTTCTCCCTTTGTCAGCTACACCAAAAAGGGCATTCACACTCTTAGACTTTGTTTTTAAAAACTAAAAGAAGATTTATAGTAAGAATAAATTCCCATAATGCTTAGTGTTTGGCCTGGAATTATCCAATGTAAAGTAGCCTTTTTAAAACAGTGACTATTTACCCTATGTGAAACACAGGATTAAACAACATTGCTCCTCTCCAGTCAATCCAACATTCTAGTTTCTCACTGTCCCAAACTTGTTTCCCCTTTTAGGGCTCCATTCCCCACCTAGGCTTCTCTCACCTAATTAATGCTCTGTTACACCACCACCACCTTTCCAAGAATACAACGCATTTCCAAACATACAAGTAGCCAATTCCAGTAACTCTGAAAGAGGATTTCATTAATCTTTCTTGCCTCGTGTGCAGTCAGTAGTAGGTTTTTCATAAGAATTCTCCATTTTGCTTCTCTGTGTTCTTCACAACAGGAAATGCAGCTGCACCTGCTTACCTCCAAAACCAAAAGAATTGCCCTATATAAACTCTAAATGGTTATCTTATACAGAGGGATTTTATATGCAAACTTCCTGAATGTGCACTTTTTACTGGGACAAGGCAATGACGTAGTAAGCTCATTTCCCCTGCCCCAAGAAAAACTGATAGCATCTGCCATAGCAGAAAATTCCTGGTCTTATCAGATCAATATACATAGTTATTTGGTCATTTACATAGGCATTTTTATGCATTATCAAGCTTCATTCTCTGTTGGAGGAGAGTTTGTTGTTACCATAGAGTCTGTCTTGCGAGTCATCCTATCCAATTCCTCTTGAACATTTGTCAAAACTGTCTTTTGTCCTAAAAAAAAGGGAAAAAAAAGGACCAAGTTAAAGCAATCTAATTTAAACAAAATTTTCTAACCGATGAGTATTTGTAAAATCACTTTTATATGTTTTTATATGATTTCTCACTTTTTTGCCACCTGTCCAATAACACAGGGTTGGACACACTGCAAGGTAATGTCTGTGTAAAGGCTGATAAATACTAAGGTTTGATTCAATTTAAAGGGATGAAATACTAATGATACAGCAGAATAAAGCACAAAAATATGTGATATATTTTATTGCAACTAATATTTTAAAAACAAGCACATTTAGTAAAATTTTCTATAACAATCAACTGAACACAATTCTATTAGAATTACTGAGAGCAAGGACTTTATTTAAACTCAGATTTCAACTGCAAGTTTTCCAAGGTATGTAAGAAACCTGTTCAAAAAATCACATTGTTTGGTCACATTTATACTTGTTGCATTTTAATATTAAATAACTAAGAGGAAGAACTCTTTTTTGTCTGCAGACATTTCCCTTAAAAAAAGGGGACATGAACTGCATATTCATGTAATATCTCAGAGCAGTCAATTCAAAGAACTTCTTCAATTGGAAACAGACACACTGAGGTATTTCATGGAAATATCCTACATTTTCATATTAGACTCAAAACTTTTAAATAATTCTCTAACTGAACCATCAGTTTAATTCATTCTGAAAATTATAAACCCACAGACAAATTAATTGCTAAAATTAGAACAATATATTCTAATGCTTAGAGCATACAAGCAATAAAGATTAAAAAAACTGTATTTTTAGGCAAAAAGTAGATTATATAACCATGTACAGCTTCCTTACATAGCCAAAGAATTTAACAAGCATATGTTTTCCAGCTCAAATGTGTGTGAAATATTAGGTGGATTTTTTCCAGGCTACATGCTGAAAACATTAAGAAGGCAAGATTTGACTGTTAGAGATTTAAGTGTTCTTTTCCAAAGTACAGACATAACCAAGTTAAAAGGCTACCTTCAACCACTATACAGGTTTTAGATTTAAGCAGTAGTTGTAAGCCACAGTACTCTTAGTAGTATCAACTGAAAGCATGAATATTCCAACAAAATTTAAAAATTAGTGTATTAACTGTAATATAATTTACAGTACAAAACACTTAACATGTAGACTAATGGTACTTCAGAGTTAAAAAAACCTAAATAGTAAAACAATAAAAAACACAAAATTATTGCTCAAACAAAAGCAGGTTTAAACAAAAATTGTGGCTTTTTTTTTTCTTTTTTAATGCTAGATGAACTGGATCCTTAAACTTCCAAAACAATACCAAGCAGCTGTCTCCTGCAAGCACCTCGTGCTGAACAGCAAAAACATTGCCAAGCTGTTCAATGATATGTAGGTTTACATACTCCCCTTTACCACCACCATAGGTAAGCACCTTTCAATGGAGAAAAAAATACAGGGAGTTGTTTTCGCAAGAAAATAAAAATTTTCCCCTTTGTTATAAATGGATACTTGCTTTCAGTTTCCCTAGAAAAATACTGTCAAGGACAGTGATGGGCTATACAATTATAGGTACTGTCTTTTCTAAGTTAAAGTGAGAGCAGAAAACTCTATTTCCTTTATCTATTGCACAAGAATAGAAGGGTGAAAGCAAACCTTAGAATGCACAAAAATCTTCTTGTTAATATAAATAAAAAAACTTTTCAATTCTACAAGTCCATACAAAGAAAATTAATCCACCATAGAAACCACCAATTCAAGTTATTTGAAATATCATGGTCTACACATGGAAGATGGACAGTCCAGAAACATAAAGGTAAATAAGATGGGTAAGGAATTACACAGCATGAAAAACAGAAATGACATTGCAGCATCTGCCCGGTTGAGAGAGTTCTCTCAACTAAGTGCTAATGTAGCAGAAACCAACACATCAACTACACTGACCAGCATGTTGAGATCCACAATGTTTCCCTCATTCTGTGACAGAATCTCAACATTTCAACCACAGAATATTCATAGCTGTGGGAGGAACAGATGGTCTCTTAAAAGTGACATATTTTAGTGTCAACCTTTTGAAAACTTAGAGCTCCCTTAACAGTTCATATTAGACACTTAAAATACCTACAATGATCATGTTAGCACATTTACTTGGACAGAGGATGTTGCCACAAACAAGACTTTCTCCAAGATATTCTCCTCATCTCTTCCAGGAAAGAACAAGTAATCTTTTCTGTTAAAACCAGCACCAGCTACCTTATAAGCTCAACAAGAACTTTTCGGATATGTTAGGAGCCCTTACCTTCTCAGGAAAGTTTAATCTTAGATTGGTTGAATATAGGATGTGAGCACATCAGCTGACAAGGAACAGGCATATTCTCTTGCAACTGAAAGTCGATTATTCTGTTCAGAAAGTCCGGGAATGGGTGCAAGCTGCCACCCTGATGCAGCCAAGAAAAGCCAGAGGCAATCTTGAGATCACTCAGGAGAAGTACTTCCACCAAAGAAGAGAGAACTGTTGTACCAGGCATTGCAGTGAGATATATCTGGAGTGCTGCATACAATTCTGATGACTTACGTTCAAGAAAAGGTAAGCCAATGATGAGAATTAATTAAGAAGAAACTAGTAAAGAAAACAGAGCTCAACCTCTAACAGAAGGCCAGAAGAGAACTTGTCTAATTTAGTTTAATGAGACAAGAAAGTTAAGGGTATATGACTGTTTTCTCTAGATGTTTCAGGAGAGAAATAATGTATTAAATTAGAAGTTAATGCTGACAGAAGAAAAAAAAAAAAAGGTACATATACCCATTTGTTATCTTTGAAAACTCCTGAGAGGCACATGATGTTTTAGAAGACTGAAAGAGGAAGCAGTAAAGCCCACTACAGACTAGTTAGTTTTTACCGTAGTATTTTTCTCTGAAATTGTAATTATGTTTTAGGTGGTCACTAGCAAGCCTACCAGCACATCAACACTCATCTGTTACCAACAAGTTGTGTCAAGCCAACCAAATTTCTTTCTATGATAGGACAACAGGTTCTGTGGAGAAGGGAGAAGTGGTCGGTGTCACATCTCACATAACCTTCACGTAAACAAACTACAAGAAAACCAGTCTTGATACTTCAGAAAAATGAACGTATTGTAATTTATTAAATTACCCATTAGTTATCCATAGTACTGGTCAACATTTTTATTGGGCAATCTACCCTCTCCAACTGTTTAAGATACCAGATATGTAGGCAAGCATGCTTGAAGGGCCAACAGAAGATTTTGAAAGGCTGGACTGGAGGGAAAAAGATATTGATAAAAAAATATTCAAGGGGTGCCTCATAACAGAATGGAAAACAATCATGAAGAAAATGTACAATCTTTTTAAATACTAAGTTAACTTGAAACGGACTAGAAAACCTCCTCCTAGGAGGCATAAATGACATCAAACTGGTTGTATTGTTACAACAAATCCTGATCAGTATCATACAGATGAAAAAAATCTAGCATCCAGCTGAGATGTCTAAACAGAAGCACAATATACAACCCAGATTAAGTAACCTCTGCTTAGGGCAGACAGAGCCTTTTCTGATCTATTGCACCCATTTCTGAGCAGCAAAAGAAACAGGTCACAGTCCAAAGAAGAACAGGAAGAATTATCAGAGCCATGAAAACACAACCTGTGAGGAAAGGCCAACAGATGTGCATTCTTGTAGTCCAGATAAAAGTCCCTGGCAAACGGATAATAGCTTTTGAATATGCAAAAAACTGTGGAAATACAAAGTGGCTACACTGATCTCTGTCTCCACTCACACAAGACAGACAATACTGGGATTAAGAAACACTGGTCATACCAACAAAAAAAATAACTAAGAAATTAAGAACTGGAATAGACTTCCCAGAGGGATGACATTACATCTTTTATTTCAGCATCTGTTTGCTTTTTAACCACTAGCCAGGAATTCCCTGATTCTGCTTTAGATAAAGAGCATGGATAAAAATAACCCCCTAAAATTATTTCTAGTCCTATTTCTACAAAAAGTTGATTTGACATAATTCATTTTGCTTAAGTTAAAAAACAAACAAACAAGCAAAAAACTTTTGCAAAGGTACCAATTATTCTGATGGGTTTCTTATATTTAAACCTGAACTCCAGAGGTATTTCAGTAGTCTGACTGGAAATCGCAGTCCAAACCAAATTAACTCAATTGCCTTCAGACAACAATAAGTGTCAAGAAAGGAAGCAATTCTAAAGTAAAAATACAAACTATTTTCTGAATATGATTAAGACTTTAGTGTTATTTGTATCCCAGCAGTATAACTCCATGCAGAGAATCAAGTTACAACAGGCTTAATAGAAGCTCTAGAGTTGTGAAGTTGCAGTAGTTCAGTTCCTTTGTCTAAAGACAGCACGTTTTGGCACTGTCATCTGTGAAGGTCTGTCACTTTACCAAACAGTTTAAAAGACACATGCAGTTAAGACCAATGTTGGCCAAATAAAATATTAAAAATATGCAAAACAGCCTGCAATAACAATACCTGATTTCTTGGCTGTACTTTGCACTCCTCCAGCACCAGGACTCCCAGGAGAGCCAGTCTTTTTGCTCAACAGACTGTTAAAGAAGCTAGCCAGGACACCTTCACTTGCAGCATTATCTACATAAAAAAAACAAATATGGGTGTGTGTATATTCAAATTTGTATTTCTCAGAGTAGTTATTGCCGGTAAATGACAGAACTTGTTTTTAATATACATACATAACTAACATAAAGGAAATTAACCTCAAATATGAGAGTCCTCACTCCATTTGAGAACATTAGTCCTCAGCATTCTTTGACAAATTCAGAGATTACTGCTCTTCTGAATGGGGAAGGGGATCACAAAATTTTCATCTAAATATTTATATCCTGATTGTTCTTTTTTTCTAAACGTAGAAGCCAAGAAACAAAGTATTAAGTATAGATGTGCAATTCAGAGATTTGGAAGTCTATGAACAAAAAGCATAAATGTTTTAGTGCAGTCTTTCATGCCTCACTACTCTTCATAAATCAGAACTCTGATATACAGCAATGAGACAGGACAGAAAACTCCATGAGTATTTTTTCCACTGTGAGTTAGGGCACCATCCTGCATACTAAAAACAACACTGGCCTGACCAACTTACTTAATGCACACAGAGGAAAGAAACCACACTACATCTTAGGGCAGAGGGAGGGGAAAGGGTAGAATTTCCAAGTTACTTCATCTAGAGAGGGTTTAGTAGAACAAACTTCATTGTGAATTCCAGGATAAGTTATATGAAGTATAAAACTGTATGTACCTTTAAGCAGTCCCCACTCTAGTAATCCAACTGATGCATAACGTATTTAGGCAATGTAAGGAAATAATATATTTTAAACTCTGACTGCTTGACACTAACAGAACTCTATTTCACATCATATAAATGACAAGGAAAACAAAAAAATCAAACAAACAAAACAAAAAAACCCCAGACCCTGAAACTATGTCATAAATTTATTCCTGCTACTAAACCAACTATACCATTAGTGAATTAATTCCAGAATCTTTCTACAGAAAAGGTGGTTGTTTTTTTCAGGGAAAATAACACATGATAAAAAAAATGCAAAATGTTTACTCATACTTTTAATATTTGGATCTGGTTTCTTAACTGATGTTATTGGTGAGGCACTGGGCACATTGGTGGGACCAGCTCTGCCTTGAGTTCTTGGGGATCCTGCAGGGCCTCTTGCAGGAGATTCCTTGAAAAAAGTCCAAATCACACATATCAGAGAACTTAAATGGATCAGTTGTATAAGGCAAGTGTAAGATCACATACATATTTTTAAAACCTTTATATTAGCACTGTAGCTGGGAGAAACCAAAAAACTAAACACCACCAAATATTTTGGGCATGTGCCTCCACTAAAAGAAAGGATGAATCACTGCAGGAAATTTTCAGTTCAATAATCATCAGATATTTCTGTGCTTCCACAGTGAATACGAATTAAGCAATTTATAAGAAACATTTTAACTTATTGTCATCCTTTTATTATCTACTTTCTGCAGCTTGATGAGATTATGTATTTTAGATTTACAACTACAAAATTAACTTTCACAGGTTAGAATCATTCCCTCTTCCCTAGAAGGAAATAGAATACCTACTGTTCTCTTGGATCTACTTACTGATGCTCTTGTAGGCGTTGCTGGCTGTTTGGCAAGGAATGACTGCAAAAGCAATGTATTAAGAATATTAAATATATTTCAAAAAATATAAAATAATAAAATACAGTGAAGCTGACAAACCTCTGATTTACCACTATGTAATCTGATAATTTTTCTATTCTAATTACAGGCTTCCTTTTTGATATTTATATACTCCCAGACTTTACCACTAGAGGACAAGAGTTAAAACGAGTGAATAAGCTTCAGTCCTTTGTCTCACACAGCCGTTCCAGAACTATAAGCCACAACCATAGACATCCAAGGCTGTAACCTCTATGATATTTATCACCAACTACACAGAAAAGTATTACTAGCTGTGGTGGTTTTTTTTAATAAATCAGTAAAGAAAATAACAAGATACACCATAGCCAAATTTGACACCTTATAGACTTTCAAGCCTCTGGCTGTAAGAAAACTGCAACACTAAGATGCTTTGTTTTAAAAGTATTTATGTTTTACAGATATGTATACGTTGTGAAATTTCAAATAATATTCTTGTTCTTCTGCTTTGAAATGTAAATTATTTATCTTCTCAACATATATTTCTTTCCACTTGCCAAGAAAAGTGGTGATGTTTTCTACTTGTATTTGTTTAAAAAATCCACACAATTACACCTGAATTCGCAAAGCTGAAAAGTGGCTCTCTAGTGATATAAATGAGGAATGAAAAACTGCAGGCAGTAGCAACAGAGAGCACAAAGTGAAATCTTATTTAGTAATGACTTACTTTCATTCTTCCATTCTTACCTGCTGCTTCATAAGAAATACTTGTTCATCTTCTGCTGCCAGCTCTTTATCATGGACTAACTGTTGAACAAAATATTTAGTTACTAGAAGTAAAATCTGAAGTTACTATAATTGTTTTCATGATCAAAGAGGAAGAAAAAGAGGCATATATTTAACACTATTCCTTGTTTGAAAAAATAAACAAAACCACAATAAACTTCCACATTTCAAAGAGCAGTCAAATTTAAAAAGTTGTCATTCAAAAAAATATAAAATTGTAAGTGAATGGAGTAGACTAGCACTGATGCCAGCCTGTGGATATTCTCCCAGAAACAACCTTCTCATCAGCACCTCCTCAGACCTGAGGATACCTTCTCCGTAAGCCCGCCCCCAACCCCACAGCCCAGAAGAAGCATTACTCTAGTTGTTACCAGTCATAACACCACTAGCAGGCAATGATTGTCCTAGAGGTGCCAAGAGTTACAAACCTCAGGATCAGACCTTTCCTTTACATGAAAGCTTCACGGGCTTGAGTTGGAGCCATTAGGCATGTAAGAAAGCTCTAAAACCTTACAGATCTGCATACAGTTTCATTTCCAATTTCCCATAGAATCTATTTTACACAGATCCTATTCCTGTGTGCCTATACTCACAGAAGTAGCAATATACAGAACTCACATGGATTATTTACTGCTCTTGCCATACATGAAGAAATCTGTCATCAGTAATATTAGAACAATAGCTGTATCCTATCTTCTTTTACAAGGTTTGCCTTTACATGGTAACCTCAACGCCACTTGTGTATGTAAATTGCTGAAGTCCTACAACAGCATCCTCCATTTTCAAAAACTGTTTTTGTCCCATATCTGCCAAAAGGCCCATATGAAATGGTTCTTTTTAGACTGCCTTTCATTCACTAAGGTGAATATGATTTCTGTATTTACTGACAGTATTTTTAAAAAATGGAAAATGAAAGCCTGATGTTTCATACATTTGGATTTTTAAAAACTTAAATTTATATTTGGAATTATTCAATATTAAGTTTTTAGTAGCCATTTAAGCAAATTGCACTTATTTTTCAGGGGGCAGGGAAGGGTTTACCCCTCTTTACCTTTCGTACAGAAGGTTTTACAATGAAGTCCTCATATGCATCTTCTGGTTTCACTGTTGTGAAGTTTTCATGTAAAATAGCAATTTTCTTCTCATTGTCCCAACCAGCAGGTCTATAAAAAGAAGGAAAGCTTGGCCTTCTCACTGACAAAAAAGCATTTACCCAGAGACCACCTATTTACCACCCTCTACCCGAATAAGGCAATTTTATTATAGGTCAGTCCTAATTCTCAGCCAAATTCCAAAGATACTAAAAAGCTGGAATGGCATACTCTGAGCCAAGTAACCCAAGTAATATGCAATAAGTTTTGAGGTTTTTTTAATTCAGGGTTTCAGAACACTGAATGACACAAACCACTCAAGTTATTTTTATGGCTATGTTATATGAAGTGTATTGCTTAACAGAAAATAATCGGAAATCATGCTGCGTATACAACTGACTTACATAAAAACTGCATCCTTTTCTACCACTAAGGCAGGCGTGGTAAACTGAAACCCATATGTTTTATGTACAATGTACTTATACAACAGATCAAGGTTCTTTTCCTCCTTAACTGATGTATAAATCAAGGCAGCCCCATCTGATTATTTATTTAAGGAAAAATACATAAGATATAGCTTTTAAATGATAGTAAGTATTTCAAAACAGGAGCTAACGGACAAATATATACTAGACGTAATTTTGAGAAGTATTTCAAGGCAAAAGCTATAGCCATTTAGTATTCAGGGAGAGGAGGAGAGTATAACACAAGAGAGCTCATTATCATTTTCTTTGATATATACGAAAGTAACCTGCCCTCCCAGGCACTTAACTGTGAAAAAACTTAAGAGATGGCTGAGACCTCAAGCTTACATGGAAATTGCAAGTTCTGAGGGCAAGACTGAGAAAAAACACCTCACAAAACGTAAAGGAACAAAGACTCTAAACTCATGCACAAATTAAGAACTATAAAAAGTTGTATATTATCTCTTGACTTTTACAAAACAACAAATGCTACAAAGTAAATAACTAAATATTGAGCAATCTCGAAGAGCAATTTCTCAGATCAACTTGAAGCGCCATCCAACACTACAATGTATTTTCTTGAGTCCACATTACAGCAAACCTCTTCAGTGCAGGAAAGGATACACTGTAAGCAGAATCTACGAATGTGTGACTGAATGAAGTCAAAGTGTTCTTCTCTGTAATCATGCTCCTTCTCTAATACACTCACTGCATCACACTGGAAGAAAGGGAGAAAAACAAACCCAGAAAACCAAGCCACTTAATACCAGCATATCATAAAGTATCTTCCTTAATATTAAACACACAACACGTTTAGTTTGAGCCTCTATTTTTAAAATGCCATCAATAAATCAAAAGATACAGTAATTAACATAAAATTGATAAGGTTATTACCTTTCTACAAAATTAAAAATTGACACCAATGGCAGAAGCTTACTTTAAAAAACAACTTGCTACTATTAATCCAGAATTCATTTTACATTACTGTATAAAGCATGCCATCTAAAAGAAAAGTAATTAAACTCTTCCATAGTAGCCAACATAACTAGAAACTCACTTTTGTACAAACTACCAGCACAGGAATACCAAGGTTGTGAGTCAGCACATTTTCTCCAAGTGGCAAAGAAACATGTTCATCCTCTTGGCCAGAAGGACCTCTTCTTTGTGGTGATCCTTGGTAGCCTTCTTCAGGTTCTACATACTCTTGAAACTCCTTTATAACTATTAAGAGAAAGATCTTCTTAAGATACAAAAAAATTAACTGATTCCCTTAAAATTATATCTATGACTAACTAGAAATCTTAACCCTTTTTTCTTTACTTTTATAATGAGGCACTACATGAAAGCAGAACACAAGCTTAAACCTTGTTACCTCTTCAAACACAATTCTCCTCCACCAATAAAATGTACAGCAAGCTAAACCAAGTGCAATTTGGAATCATTGCAAATAATCAAAACTAGATGCAAGAGCTATAATATGCAGAAATGCACATTCCTCAACTGAATGTGTTTCATTAGAGGGCAGCTAACAACAGAAAACATAAATGTAGTTGCCTATACTTGGTGCAATTTGTACCTAGTTTGGAAGAATGCATGGTGAAAATGGAAATGGACATGCAGAACAGGAAGCTGAAACAGCCACTCTTCCTTATAAACTACTACTCATTTTAAGTTTCTATTACTCTACATTTCTCTTGCAGGCATCCAATGCTATAAAATACAGACTAAGGACTTCTCAATGTTATAAGGAGAGACTCAAGTTACATTCTGGAAAACTATAATGGAGTCCAGATGAAACTAAATGGTATGTTTTCAGCTTTTTAATTTTATGGCAACGATGATTATCCCAATATTTAATACTATCAAATACTGAAGTGCCTAGGAAATATAATAGTATTAACACCATTTTGGAAGTGCACTGTGACCCCATGCATGCTTTATCAAAACTGGGCTGCAACTTAAAGATTTTAAGTCTTTTTTCAGGATGAAAACCACAGACCAGATAAATCTGCCTATGGGATGTGTATGCTCCCAGGCACAGCACTTCCCAAGGGTCCAGGGCTCTCCCTCGTATGACAATCTCACCTGAAGCCTCTTCCTTGCTTAGCCATGAGGATCCCTCAGGAAAGAGGTAAACAAAATGCTTTTATTTGCTCCCTTTAAAGCCTCTATTTTAGAAACAGTGGGAGCAGGCTGACTGTACATACAGTAAGGAAAACTCCTGGAAAAGGCTCCCAATCTCCAGCAGTCACAAAGACTGCGTTGCTCAGCACATTCATGTGACAGAAGGAACTGCAGCTATACTACAGGCCACCTGATACTTCTGAGGTTTAGGAAGTGGTAAACCCTCAGAAAAGTTTATAATACAAATCTGGCAAAATTAGGTCACTACTTTTTCCATATAGGAACCATGCCTGCAATAGAATGGTCATGTGGAAGAACGAATCAGAAAAACACGTTGATTCAAAGCTGCACAATCTGGAATAGAAAATTATGTAATTCTTGTGGAAAACAAATTAACCCCAGTGCACAGAAAAGCTTAGAAATACATTAAATATAGATCATAAGACTTCCAATCAACAACTCATTATATTACAAGGTCCAAGGAAAAAAAAAAAAAATAGGATGCAGTTGCTTTTAAACTTGGGGACACAGTGCCTTCTGGTGGAGAAGAAACAGCAACGCTTTCAAAGAGATGTTTTCCTCTAGTACCGTTTCATATTCAGCAACTGCAAATCAACATTCCATTACACATTCTGCACATTAAATATGTTTCCTGACTACCTCACAGAAAGCAAATTTGTTCCAGTGCATTTAAGTAGAAAAGGGTTTTTATAAAGGACTTATTTCATTACTCAGACTCTTCCTAGCTCAGGATAGAAAAAAACCCCAAAGCTATCAAAGTGTTTTACAGCAGTATAAACAATACCATTTACATCCACAACAATCATTCAGATGTAAAAGAGTATTTCACAATACTGTCCTCAATTTACTACAGCATTATAATCAGACAATATTAATTTCCTAGGTCATATCAGATCAGAAAAATGGTTTTTTAACCAAGTTTTCTATTAGTATAAATCCCCCCAAATTTGGACAAGAAAAGCCTCTCTTGTAAACAGTAGGATTCTGACAACATGACACAAATAATTTTTCCAGGTACCCTAAGAATTTTAGTAATATAAACAATAGGAAACGCAACTTCAGCAATCTGATGGTACATCCTCACCAATTTTTGCTGAATGAGAATGAGGACCATAATCCTACAGAGCTGAGATTCCCAACTCTCCTCCTCCCCAAGAGTAGGCAGCAACAACTCCATGCATCACACATCAACAACCAACAAGGCTGTAACTCACTCTGGTTTATCCATGCATGGAGGGAATAACAAACTTCACTGTGGAGATGAACTGTTGTGGATTGTTAATACAGCACATGGCCTGGCACTAATCCCTGCCTAGAGACTGAGGAACACTACAGAAAGCACTTGGCTTCAGTTCCCAGGGGTGTCTGCTGAAGGAGTAACTGCTGGAGTTAAAAGAAGGCAAAAGCAACACTAGGAATCACTAACTACTGGATCTTGAACACAGACGCACTTGTTTCAGAACTGAGGTGCTTTAAGTCCTTGTTAGTGATAGCCTCTTGAACACTTTCTGAAGACTCTGATTCAACTCTCATTCCCATTCAAAATTTAGTCTTGTTAATCCAAGAAAACCTGTATCACAAGCGCTGTCAGACTGGCCTCTGATGAACAAAATGCACTCTAAGCAGCTAATAAAAAAGCTCACTTGGCTTAAAGTGTTGCTTTGTCACACAGCAATTTAATGCTTTTTCCTTACCTCCCACGCTTGAGGATTTTTCAGATGAAAAATTGTTTCTCTGCTTTCCTGTTTTAAATGCATCATCTTACCTATATTTATATCAAAGTAATATTCCCCTACTTTTCCACACTCCAGTATCTATTTCTCACTTGATCTCCCCTCTCAAACTTTTAATGGACATGAAGTTCATCATGGACTCAAACAGCTTGTGTAAGTCTTCTTTTTCCTTTTTTCTCATTAGCTATGAATATTTTCTCCTTCACAAATTTCATAATAAGGAACATCATTTCATATGGTATGGGAAATAACCCTTATCTTTATTAAGAAGTATGGGAAAATTACTTTAATTTTTTTTGAACAGGAAATACAGGTAAGATGATGTACTTAAAACAGGAAATCAGAAAAACAACTGTTCATCTGAAAAATCTGTAATACTCTGCTACCTGTCAATAAGGTTAAGGATTAGGAATGGACTATTACATTTCAAAAACTATCACCAGATAATGATAAGACATGAAAAAAAAAACACCAAAAAACACCTCTGCTACAGTGTGCTGACTTATCTGCCAAACTTTTGGCTTATCTAGGCAAAAAGCCCTTTATTTAGACTTTTGCATTTAACACAGCAAATAAATGCAAGTGTCCAGTTATCTGTTTTGCCTTCATGTTACTTCTTATTTATACAAGGTAATGAAAGCTAACTATATCAAGAAAAGATGTATGATTCATGTCACAGGAACAACTGACTGGAAGTACCACCAAGAAAGCAATTCACAATTACTCTTAGATTTAAGTGTTCCAGGAACAATAAGATCCTCAGTCTTGGAACAGCAATAAGAAAATGGAAAACAAACAGTATTTAACTAGACCGATCACAAAAGCACTGAACAGCAAAACAAGAAAAACAAAACTTTTTTCTGAGACAGTCATTCCTTCTTTACTCTCTATTACGTTTCACAATCAATTAATGCAGTTTTTGCTTTTTTGAGCACTGTCTTTACTGATCATAAATTTTAGTCTTGTGAAAAGAATTCCTAGACAAAAGACATCTGGGTAAACTCCTTTTATCTTTCAGCTTAAGAATACTTTCAGGTGTATGTCAGACAAAAAAGAAACAAACAAAAAAGGCAGAGAACCTGAAAGTAATTCAGCTTGAATAGGATATCATTTTCAGAAGTAAGATTCCTGACAGCCATCTTTGCTGTCATGAACTGGGAGGCAAAATTTAGATCTTCCCTGAAATTATTACTCAAATATGTGATTCAAACAATGGTTTATGGTAACTGAACTGACATTATTTATCTCAATCGACACCAGGCAAGCTCTTAGCAAGCAAGGGATTTCCAGAGCAGCTCAGTGACGGAGTGAGTGCAAACAATGTTCTTGGCATACTCTGAATAACTCAATTTCTTTCAAGGCAAGACAGTTGCTTCTGTACGTGTCCTGCCTCCCATTCTGTAAGCTCTTTAACACAAAAGAAAAGCTTCTCATAAACCAGATGGAGCCTAGGTCATCCACCTAGTAGAGCCAGGAGTTGGTATCTCAAATAGCAAACACAAGACAAAAGGCTGGGTGGAGAAAGGTCACTAAAACACTGAAAGTAAAGACAAGGAGTCCAAAGTTTAATTCCACTGAGAATGGTGAGCTAACAAAAAGATTTCTGCAAACTGGTAATAATATCTTAGTAAGAGAGAGAGAACAACCTAACATCACTTGGAATGGATGCTAATGGGATAATCCTAGAAAATCTGTCCCCAGGGTCAACAAAAAGTGGTTACTGGTACTGAGTTGACAAGTTAGGAACAGCACTGTGGACATTCCGCTTGGTTCACATGCCTCAGCTTGTATCAAGAAGGAAAAGTAAGTGAACACAGTTCTGCAAACTGAAGTCAAGCAACACATCCATGTGGCATTACACTGCAGTTGGGCTTTACTGGAATTAATTTAGCACATCTCTTTGCTCTGCACCCTGCTTCTATGTTTTGACTGCCTGCTCTGCATATGTGCTTTATTACCCCAGTGTTTTCATACCTGGGCTATTGCAACAGTGATTCTCTGTTTCTAAGTGGCAGCTTATCTCAGTAAGCATAGGCAGAAAACTTTGCTGGTGTAGTTTTTTTGAAGGACTGTAGTCATAAGACTGTCTTCAGGCTCTGTACTGTCTAACCAGTTACATTAATATAGCCACAGTTAGGAAATTTATTTTAGCACAATTTGCTGTTTAGAGAATTACAAGCTATGGTGGCCAAAGTTTTGAGCAGAGATCTGGTCGTAGGGACAATCTGCAAGAATTCAGAAGGCAGTATCTGAGATGACACAAGCGGCCTACAGAACACCTGAAAAAAGGAGCAAGATGCAAGTTTGTGGGTGGAGAAACGAAGGCCCCTGTTTTACCTGCACGCTGATATTGGACCCCAGTTCACCGCTCAGCCACAGGATGGCAGCAGAGCTGTGCAAGCGTGTGAATTAGGCAACTCAACTTTTCCCTCGGCTCTATTAAAACACAAGAGAAACTAGGAATTTCTACAATACTTCAATTTAGAAATCTCTAAGATAACACAAAGATAAAGCTTTGCCACAGCTGTAACTGGCTCCCCCATACAGCACAGAAAACACTTCTCTTTTCAAAGGTAAAGTGCACAAACTCCACATTTATTTGCCAGAAAATCTGGTGCATCTCAGAAAAGTTCAAATTGAGCTAGCTGCTGTATTTTGAGACTAGAACTGACTTCCCATCTCCCACATAAAAGAAAAAAAAAAGAATGCTTTTCCCTTAAAAATTGTCAGGGTTTTTTTGTTTTTTTAAAATATAACCTGCTGATCAAACCCAGGTGAATTCAACCATTAAGTTTAAATTCTAGACAGTGTGCTACAGGCACAAGCCTTTTGGGAAAGCACTATTTAACATTTAGAAAGAATATCAGCTATACAAATACATCTTAAAGACTAAACAGATGACACTACTCCCTAAGTGCATCTAAGGAAGCCACTGGGCAGTATTTGAAAGGTTTAAACACTCCAGTACAGCTAGTCAACAGTTCTGAACAAAAGCACCCAGAAAGGATCAGTCTCAATTTATACCTCAGCTGAACAGGAATTTATGTTGCTAAAGACTTTTCCAGTGAAAGAATTTATTTTGCAGTAATTAAATATGAAAACAGAAAAAACTCTCAAGAAACATTCAAAACTATTTTAAGAAAGAAAGAAAGAAGCTGCAGGAAACAAAACTGCAGTGATGACTGCTTGCCAGATTCTTTCCTGCTATAGATATGCCAGGAAAGAAAGTTAATTTATACAACATTCCTTAAGTCACAGGATAGGAATGCCTGTAACAAAACACAATTAGACAGACCAGGATCAGTTGAGGCTTGTGAAAAACAAGGACAGAGAGACCTATTAGAAGAGAAAAACATTATGGGAATGGGACCTGGCTTAGATACGATATGGAAGCAAACAGCTCAGTTACTGAATGTTGTCACTATTTTTAAAAATGTTATTCTGCATGGCGTTGGTTTTTTTAATTGGTCTTTCTAAAAATCAGATTATCAAAATCTCATTATTACAAGAGATTTAGACCACTACCTGACCTGATGCTTTGTTAGCAAAACTGAAGTTATTTTGGTACCTAACAGTGTCTATCTGAATTGGAGTTGTAATCACAGCTTCAAAGTAATTCTTATCCAACCCATTCTCAAAATACTAATCTAAATAAAATTATCATCACAAAATAAAGCTGCAAGAACTTGTTTGGGTTTTGTTTGTTCACTTTTTTTAAAAAAAAAAGGACAAGAATGCATGGATGCACAAAGACTTACACTTCTGTTCCATGTCTCTCATCTCTTCTGGAGGAATTTTCATCTTATCAATATGTTCTTGCAAGACACTGGCCCATTTCTGTAAAGACTCCATAACAGTCCAAGGTCTAGACATATCTGCAACAAAGACTACAATGGTGTCTTGCAGGGATTGTGCAGAAACTGCAAACTTCAATAGGCCTTTATGGTATAAGTCTCCATCCAGAATCCAAACGTTACAGCGAGTATGATCTGAAAGGAAAAAGCACAGTTTTAACTCAACAGATGCCATTTTGTTGTTTCACTAGTCTGTAAATAGATGACGATATTAAGGGTTAAATGAAAAACCAAAGCCCAACTACCATATCTTGTCTGTTTTTAAAAGGACAGATGCATGCGTAGATCTACATTATGTGGTACATGCTTCAATTAACAGGATTTTTTTCTTGGTTCAGAATATTTTCATTTTTTAAAAAATAATTTGTTTTTTTGGCTTTTACTAAGAACAGCTGACACAACATCTTTTAATACTGAACAGCATTCCTGAAATATGTATATTCCAAGTAAAACCAGAATACATGTGACAAAGAAGGTGATAATAGCCGAGTCCAGCAGGGATGCCTTAGGTGTCCCTCAGACATGTAAGCTGGTTTAACATCTCACAACAGAAATAAGCTGCAAACAAGATAAAAACAATAAGCAGCTTAGGTTTCTAGCACAGGAATAGGAGGAGAAAACACACAGGATAAATCTCCAACCTACCAAACTTTAAATTTGTACTACCTGCTCTTAATTCACTCTGACTTAAATTGGCTCCTACTTCCAGGCTCCTTACAGAAAGAGTAGTGGACAATTTGGTATTTTAGTTTTGCATTTCTCCCCCCATGGTGTTTTGATAACAACTGGGTATTTTTTGTTGTAATGCAAGGCAGGGAAGTGGGAAAAATCAGCTGGGACAGACTGATGGCATGGGAAGTTTTACCCCAAACATGAACTCTGGCAAGAATAGAAGAAACTGAAAATGGACCATCACACAGGAATGATGTATCAGGTACTCTGAACAATCAATTCTGCCCTAATTTTAAAAAAAAAAACAAACAAACAAAAAAAAAACCAAACACATTACCCTTGAAACTTCCTCCTGAAAAGGACCAAGTCCATTTGTTTCTGTTTTCTAGACTCTTCCTAGTATCTCTTTTGAAGTATTCACTATTCTACTACAACTGCCCAGAGGGACCAGTGGATCTCCAAGGGTATCACACATAAGATTCTGAAATACATGGATCAGGAAACCAACCACTGCAGAGCACAGATTTTCAAAACAGCTGTTGCGCTTCATAACTACTCTGCCTCACTATATTTCTCTACCCTGTGATCCAAATCTTGTAACTTCAAAAAATAAATCCAGTTGCTGCGAATATCGTAACTTAACTCTAGGTAAAAATCCACCAGGATCAAAAACACTGGCTCCAGAAAAAAAAAAACAACCAAACTTGACTGGGAAACTGGAAGTAGAAAAGAGCACAGAGATAGACAAACTACCCCTTTCTATCAGGTCTTGAATAAAACTACAGAACAGCCAAGTTACAGACAGATTACATCAAGATGCTATACATGGGCTCTCTTCATTTAGCATTTGTTATGCTCCTGCTTAGGCTGTCATAAAACGTTAAAACATCAGTCATTAAACAAACAAGACAGCAGTTACGTTTGTAACTTGAAGAACTGTGCCTCTCAGATCTCTCCTTTGCAGTAAACTGTTAGAATAATAGCTCTGTTTCTAAGAAATGCACCTTTACATATTCATCCACTGTTTCCTCCCCTCCCTTTCCTCTACTTCAGGAAACGGTCTCGCTGAGATCACACAGGTTTCTCACAGCACTGGATGTATGAATCTAAAACTGTAGGAAGACCTCTAAGGATGGAGAGAAACTTTGGTAAAAGTCTGGAAAAGCAGGAAGCAGGAAGGATGCTAGGACATAATGAGAACGCTTTTGAATATTCACTACTAGGCAACAGTAAATGAAACATTTATGCAAACAGTAAACGAAACATTTATGCAGGACTTCATTACCTCCTGCATTCCAGAAGCATCCTCTTGCATTTTCCCAAAAGCAGAAATCTACTAATGAAAACTCTGTTAACTTTCAACCAGTTAAAGCTTATTAATAATGCACAACTGTCTCCTCGAAGCAAATACAAATATTTTAGAAACCTAACTTTAAGTCTACCTACAGTCTGTGGAAGTTTACAACTCTCATCGGCACTTTCATAGATTCTGCAAGAGCTTTCATTGCAGAAAAGACTTTCACACCTTATCAAGTAACAAAAATTAATCAATATCCTAATTCACTGTTTTTAAGTCACTTTTTAAAGCCAATACCTAAAGGTTTTGTTTCCTAAACACCTTTGGTCCTACTTAAGGACTTAAGTTTCTGCTAAACATCTAGAATAGACAGGAACTTGAAGAGAGATGGAACTAGAATGCAGTTGGAACTATCAGTCAAATGAAATCAATCTGCTGGGAAGACTGGAAGCTTAGCACTCATAAAATATACTTTTAAAAAAACAACAAACACTGTACCAAAGTGAAAGGTTTTGCTCCTTTCTTATAGTAAAGAGGTATGGCTTGTGATTTATGATTGCTATAAATACAAAACACTTAAAAATACAGTACTGGTTGTTGACAATTTGGCAGTCTTGATTGGCAAATTCAACTTTGTCAGCACCGTATCAAGCTCCCAGTTAGTCATATGATGTGAATGTTAACTGGGCCTTTCAGAGTGGTTATGACATGACACACCAACACAAAGCAAACATTTACCAGATGCTAATGGAAAAGCAGGTGCTACTTACTAAAGACTATTAAAATAGCTGCTAAAACTACATTTCTGATCTGCTCAATATTTAATTATCTCTTTAACCATGAAAAAGATTTTCCCAGCTTTGATGAATTTTACTGCAGATGGCTGATTCTGTGAACTGCAATTACACCTCATGCATTTATTCAAAAAGTATCAGTGGTAATTAGATATGCCTTGTCCAAGCTGTGAAGCACAAAAGGGAAAAATAATTTTCAAGAGAAACTACTTCAAGGATATTGAAAAAAGACAGTTTTTGCCACTAGAAATCAGTGTACCAGCCGCACTTGGCTCAATCTGGAACAACCAGTTCAACTGGAATATGCATTTGATATGACTGAGGACACTCCAAACCTGAGGCAAAAATCCAAGACTACTTGATTTCATTACAAGAACACAACAACAGAATGGTTCTACTTCACTGTCACATTCGGCCCAGTCAGAACAACTGTATTACATTTGTAATCTGAGGCAGTTGAACTGAAAGCTCTCTATGGTGTTTATTATTGGCAGCTTAACTCATGCAGTATCACTACAAAACCCGTCAGCGTAGTTTGTCTCACTGCCTTGCTGTACATCCTCACTTGAACTCTGCCCCATGACTCTAAGAGACTCTGAAAGCTACTCTAGGAATACATACCCTTTAAGAAAATTAAACAGAGCCTCTCTCCTACCTCCTATGAATTAAGATACTCAGTTCTCAAAGCAAACTAGCCAGCATGGACACAGAACACCTGCTCACCACAACAAAAGGTAAAAAATTAAAACCAGCCATGCTCCCTGAGACATCCCACTAGCAGAGGTGTCTCGAGCTTAAGCTTCAAGGTCATTTAATATTCTGAGTGAACTTTACAGCCAGTGCTGTAAGTGCTTTCATCCAGATGAACTACAGTGTTATGTTCAGAGAAGCAAGTCATATGCTCCAGGGATATTGTACGTGGAGTTAATGATCTAGGAGGAACCTCCCTTAGGATTGCTTCTCAGGCATCCCTAAATCTCTTCCTGAACAAATGATTTAGTCTAAGCAGAACCTGACATAGTACCTAGGAAGGAGATTTTTCAGGTAGAGATTCAGTAGGGGACCTATTTTAAGTTATCCTAAGACCTATAGACGAAAATACTGCATGTTACCTTGAACAACTAACAACTAACAGAACTGAACCAGCTAATGACCAACCCAGCAGTGAGGTGTATCTTGCCATCCAAACTAGGTGTCAGCCACTACCAAGAAATCATTGATCTAATCTTTAGGGAAAAAGACAAAAGTAACTGTAAACTAAGATATGCACCTAGTAATCTAGAGTAACTCTGCTTCAAATGTAGGAGAAGTCAGATTCAAATATCCCTCAAGGAGGAAGGGTGTTGGGGGCTGGGGAAAGAATAAGAAGCAACACAGAAGATTTTCCTAAAGATTTCCAAGGGGAAGTGGGAGATAGATAATGACTCAGCACTATGACCAAAATATTTCTCCTGGACCAAATAAAGCATTCTGAAACGAAGAAGAAAAAGACAAAGAGAGCAAAGAAATCTCCTAGCACCCGGGAAAGCTGCTGAAAAGATCTTGTCACTCCACTACAGAGTTTTTTACCAGTGTCTATTTGACACACCTGGAAATTCTAGTGGTTTGCTGGTCTTGAATAAGTTGGGGTATAATACAAAGCACATACCCTCGAAAATGAGTACATGACAGTAAGCTCTTGAATTCCTATTTTCAGTTCCTTTGCAGCATCCAAGAATTGTGGGTCAACTATAAAGGCTTTGCTCCCAAATCTCTATCTGAGCCTACACACATCTCACAACTTGCAGAGTTTAAAGAAATAAACCCAAACCTGAGCTAGAGAAGGAAGACTTATCTTTGCCTGCTGGGAGGTCCTGACCCACTTTGCAATTTATTTTGCTTGCTGATGACATTAACGAGACAGAATAAGGCATGTATTATTAGATCCTAACACATCCATTAAAGGGATGCATGAGGACCTGAATTCTCCAGCTGAGTCCTGTAGTCAAAAAGGTCTCTTTTTTCCTGCCAGAGCTGCCTGACAGTGTTCTCCTAATCACCTCAAATACTTATCACTACTCAGGCATAGCCCCAAAATATTTCCAAAGTAGAGACATAGTTGAGGTCTGATAGACAGCAGCAGAAAAAATAGCACACCAGACATTTTTATAATACCATCTCTTTTGATGTTTCAAGAAGCCTGATGTCACAGGCTGTCTTGACACTCCTAAATGTAGAGATTTTTTATCCTTGAAGTATTTATGCAGTACTAAAGAAGACTGTGCATGGTGAAAAAGTACTTGCACCAAAAACCTCAGGAAGCCAAGAACAGCCCAGCACTTAAAATTACAGCACAAAAGATCTTTAGGAACTGCAAGATTAAGGTAGCCACTGAAGACACAGGCAATGTACTCATCCATTAATTGTGCCTACCTTCATATCTAAAGACAGTTTATTACCACACAAGCACAGGACCAATCTCCATAACAACCAGTCACATATGGTACTTAATCACTCATGCAAGCCTTCAGTACATTAACAAAGTACCATTATAGAATCTTCCAAGTTCATTTGTTTTTAGGAATATGGATGAACCACCCTCATTGCCTCCCTGTTCTGAACTGAAAACTCAGAAGGAAGTAATGAATAAGAAAACTGCCATTCCCCATTTCTGAAGAGAGAAACTAACACAAAGAGGTCCAGCACTTTGCTCAAAACATGACAAGCAGACACAGATTTAGGATCCAGGACAACTAATTCCCTCCTCATCTCTTCCTGTCCCTAGCCTTCTGAAAAAGTGTTCTGATAATGAGACCTGCTTTTACATGGGTTTCTTGTCATAATCCCCCTCCCATAGAGCAGAGAAGAGCAAACACCAACAGCAACAAAGAGAAAGACAAGGAGTAGAGAGACAAGCTCTAATGTGAGAAAAAGAAAAACAAATTCTGACTTTTAAGTTCTGTTCTTCACTCATTCAACTCCTAAGAAAACATGCCAGTTACAGTTAATCAAAATTCCATACAAAGCCATAGACAACAAAACACTAAAAACCCATGCCCAGAAATCCATACTGAGAACTAAATCCTCATGGATGTACCACTTACTTTCTATAGTTATCAAGTAGTCAAATGACAATGTATCTGCTCGTAAGCCAACATCAGCAAATGTATCTACCCTAAACGTAAATGGATCCAAAGAGCTGCTCAAGTGTCCTTTTTCCTCATGCACTTCACTTTTCAGAAATTGATATAGCTTCTAAAACATACAGAACAATGCTAGAACCACCTACTGGAACATAACTCAAAATCCACTGATGAAACCTCAGTTACAAAAAAAACCCACAACAGCTACTTAATTACAGTAAAGAGATTACATATAAAATGAACTTACCATCTCTGTCTTCATCGTGAATATTTAGATACAAGTATTCCAACCCTCTTCCTTTCTTTCCATGCTCTGCTCCCTGTATTTTAGCCATAAGTGTGGTTTTACCTGAACCATCATCACCTGCCAGTAATTTGGTACAGGAAAACAAGATACTTTCAGAATTAATTTTAACTTTGCAGAAAAGCTTCTTTAAAACACATTTCAGTAACCAGAAGTATCCTTGTACATTTTTGTACTGCATTTATTTGTTGTTTTCCTTCAAATATTCCAGCTAAATACAATAGCTTATACCATAGCAATAAGAATGAAACAATTGTTCTGTATTACATTCCATTTGTTCCAATACACATTACAAAACTAACAGTGCAAACCAAGAATAAAGTAAATCTACCAGCCTGAAGAGAATACAGTAAGATCATATTAAATAACATAATTTTAACAAACTGATGTGTCAGTTTATTCACGTAATCATTTTAAACACACTTTGTTTCTACAAAAAGAATCCAGCCACCCAAATGCTTGCATATGCTACTTACCAAAAACAAGGATATTCTTGCCCGAGGGCAGTTTAGATCTTGACCGGGTAGAAACTTCGCTGAGTATCGAGGACCTAGAAAAAAAGCACCATTCTTGTCAGAGTGACGTGCCCAAGGCCGCTCACACACACACAAACACAACCCACACATTGCCTATTTGACAGCACCGATGAGCTCAGCAGATCAGCACGGACCAATCCGGTCAGTTTTGTTCTATTTACAAACTAGACGTGATGTTACAGTTACAGATTTAAGCTCATTCTGAAAGACTAAAAGTATGCCAGCCTCTTGAAAAAAGCTTTTGATTTCTAAAACACTCGCAGCAATGTTTTCCTAAGTTTTTCTCCCTTTTCGTCACGTTACAGCAATACACTGCTTCTCAACTGATGACTAGCTCTTCCCACCGTTCATTACTGTCTTTTGTACACAATTTTTTTCTGCCGTTATTAGTATTTTTAAAGCGTTACTCAGCGATAAACGACGGGAAAACAAGCGGTGAGCCTCCCGGAGCTACCCGCAGAGCCAAACCTCTCGGGCCCCGCACACTCGCTCTCCTGCACCCCCTCAGCGAGGCTGCCCTTGTCCATGCGGTGCGGGGCTCCCCTCACGCACCCCGCCAGCTCCCGCAGAGCGGGCAGCTCCTCACGGAGCGCCGGGCGGGCCGCC